GCAGCCAATTGCGCACAGCAATGTCCCACAAACAGTCGTAGATTGAAAATGACCAATTTATTATTGCTTTTGGAGGGATTATTATTACACTCAAAGGTGGAAACTTTTATTCCCAGTACCAATATTCCCTACCATGAAAAGTCCAAAAAAGTCCAGAAATATGTTCTCGTTCAAAAAATTCAGATCAAATTGGACTTAGTTTGAAAGAAGGCTCATCATGAAATTTTTATTTAATTACTAGTGTAAAAATGCATCAATTGCTGATAGCAGCTACTAAAACTCCTACACAACTAAAACCCGAAACTCTTTTGCTAACAGAAATGATTATACTGAACAATGAGAATGAATTGTAAGGACACTCCACATTCGGTCTTCATAATGCTGTATTCTCACCAAATTTGGCATACGTGGATGAATGTTACTAATGTAGGCTATCAAGAAATGCCTGTAGAAAAGTCCTATAGAACATTTTCTACCAAGTTAAGCAATATGAAATAACGAGATGACAAAGAATGTTTTGAAAGCGTTTGCCTACCTCATGAATGAACAAGTGCAGAAGGGACAGAATAGACACACGACTGTTTGATTCGGTATCTCTGAAATAGCTTGAATCATAAAGTCTACAAAAAACATTTGGGCTTTATAAAAACTGCTAAGCAATTCACAGGAAACCTCGCAATAAATTCCAGAGAGCAAACTAAAAGATTCCTTTCAGGTAGAATGAATAGGTTAGTCACAGCTTTTCGTTGGGCAATGAATCAATCACACTATTTCTGTAGGTTTGGTTTTTTTTCACTGAAGCAGACAACCTAACACACTAAATATAACTTTGAGACCAACATAAATTGAAGAATGCAAGAGTTTGAAGGGTGGGAGATTAAATTATATGAATTCCTAAACTCTTTCTGTCTGCTTCGATGGATATTGAAAGATCCCATGACACTTTTTCCCCAGGGCTCTACCCAACAATCCCTCAGATAAATTGGTCATTTCACTTCGTAGCTGTTTGTGGGCCATTGTTGTGCACAAATTAGCTGTTGCGTTTGCCAACAAGAACACATTTGATAATTATCTATGTGACTGACCCTACAGGCACTCTATCAAATGCAACGATTATTATATTACAGTAAGATTAACAATGTACAAGTCGCAATGAACTACCACAGTATAAGTTTACAAAGTAATACAGGAGACAAATGTTTTGAAACAGTCAGTATAAAGTGCAGATATTGGGATACATCATCCAGGAGGAAGTATATTAAATAAAAAAACTCTCCAGACTATCCTACCCTTTGAATTATTCATGGAATAGGCTGAAGAGCGTACGTTAAAATTGGTGAACTAAGCCATCACTTTTCTATTGGAATGGTCAGCAAATGGCTGACACAAGTCATTCTTGGGAATTCTTGCCCGTTGGCAGTTTTCAACTAGCGGAGAATTCAGTCCTGATCCACCGAGTCCTGCCGCCGTGAAAGGCGCTATACACATGAAATTTTGTTGTTGTTCACACCCAACACTTTCCAACAGGCATTCAATAGCAAACAGGAACTGTGACTGATTTCATTCCTGTCTCTCTCACTGATCAACCCTTTGACCCGAGAAAGAAAACCAAGGGATAAATCTGAGGACCACATTTACCCACAGAGTAAAAGAGGGTGCTAGGTCGGGGTGGGGAGGGAAATGGCCCAAATGCAGAGTCAAAGTGATAGATCTTCAGGCGGGATATCAAAGCAACAAGAAAAGGGGCAAGCAGAGGAGAGAGCTCCAGAGGAAGTAGGAAAAGTAGCTGTAGGATCACCCATTGATGGTGGGACAAAGCAGAATGGAGGGAGGGGGGACAAGAAGCATTCCAGAGTTGGCAGAGTGGAAGGAATAGGAGCACCGAAGCTCACAGGGATAGGGTGGTGCTCTGAATGCATTTGAAGATAAGGACGAGGTTAAAAATTAATCTCCTGGAGGATAGAGAGTGGGGACTTGTGGGACCTGGTGCCAAGAGAGTATGGGCTGCAGAGTTCTGTACGTCCTGGACATTGTGAAGAGCGAAGCTGGAGAGGCAAGTAAGCAGAGCATTGTAAAGGTCAAGCTGGGAGGTGACGAAGGCATGTAGCACATATAACTAATAACTGAAAAGACCTTTGATTGCATTGTACAAAGTGTCCTTGTACTTCACCCTTCCCGGCTATTTATTCTCCAGTCAAAAGTGTGGCAATCTCCTGAAAAATGATGGAATTTTCTTGAAAAGGATGCTCAAGGTCTATCTGATCATAGACTTCAGTAAGCAAAGCTTCAAAGCAGGTCTAATTCATTCATCAGGTCTTTGATTCACAATATGCCACACCACTTACATCGCACATTCTCACCGAAGTCAAGGACATATCGGATTTGAAATATCTATTCACTCCACACGTAAGAACTGATCATTTGATCCTTTGTACGTGGATTTAATTTGCTGGAACGATATGGTAGGAAGCATGAAGAACTCACATCGCTGCTCTATCAATTCGATACCGCTTTCACAAAATTTGAACTAAAAACTGAAACAATAAATTCCACAATTTGCACTTTCACAGTTACAGAATATGCTGAATCCAGATTTATATTTTGAGGAATTCAAATAAAAAGGAATGACATGAAGCAAATATGGAACATTTCCTGGAAATATGAACTAAAATGTAATGAAAACAATCACTAATAACCATTTGGATCAGGTCAGAAGATTGCAACTCAATTAAAATAGCCATCCTCTATTTGAAACTCTGTTCAGGTGGTCCATTTTCAAACTGTCCATTACTGTTTGACAAAATAATCAAATTGATATACGGTATTTCTAGCATCAAATGTCAAGAGTGTTTCACACAAGTTACAAATTTACATTTATATAACGTCTTTCATATCAGGAAGACATCCCAAGGTGCCTAACAGTAATGGCTTGGAAGCCAAGCTGGGGATGGGAGCCAAATGGGGTGGGAGGAGAAGGATGATTGAAAGCGAGGTCAAAGAGGTAGGTCTTGAGACAGATCTTGAACAAGATGAGGGCACAAGCCAGCCGGAGGGCCTCTGGGAAAACTGAGCAAAGCAAATGATCAGGTCAGTTGGGTTTAAGGAGGTTGTAGAGGTAAGGTGAGGCGACATCATGGAGGAATTGAAAAGTGAGAACGAGAAGAATGGTGAGCCGATGCAGCCAAGCGAGGATGGGGGTCATAGGCTCAGGGAGACCGGTGTGGCAAAGGACACAGCTGCAAAATTCTGGATCGTCTGTCGCTTGTCGAGGGAATAGCCGGGGAATCCAACCAGCATAACAATGGCATAATCAGGTCTGGACGTGATGAATGTGCGGATGAGCATCTCAGCGGTCCGGAGGGAGGGAAATGTTTCAAAGGTGGGGAAACCGAGCAGGTCCGAGCACAGATGCGAGTTGAAAAACTAATCAAATCTTTTGTTTTGAACAAAAGTTAATTCCTCAATTAATAAGCTGTTGCAGTAAAAACTAAGATCGTCGTGCTGATGATAGTCCTGCTACAAAATAGCTGTTTTACCAATGTAATAATATAATAATCCTTGCATTTGATATAACGTCTTATCACGTATTCAAGGCGTCTCAAAGCGCTTCACAGAATACACGGTTAAGTGAACTGAGTGAATATTTTGTTGGCAAAATCCAGCCACCAATTGCACAGCAGTGTCCCACAAACAGTCATGGATTGAGTGAACAAATCATTATTATTATTGAAGGGATTATTACCCCGAAAGCCAATAGGCCAATCAGCTAACAACCGGGTACCTACTTAAACAGAGGCATGTGGAGTTAGGAAACGTGCCCAACATTTTGCCCTGCCCGGGAATGAACCCAGGTCGTCTCGTTCGCGAGGCAAGTGCTCTACCCACTGAGCTACAGGACTCCACAAGTAGTTTTTTTTAAAAAAAAGCAATTTTAAGCTCAAATCTCAGCAATGCACAAAAATTTGCTATATTAGCCACAGACATGAAAAGCTTTGTCAAATCTCAGACAGTGCTGAGTGTTATGCCTAACAGAACCAAAGCCTACTATTTGAAGGGGGAAAATTAGCACATTGATCATCCCGTCGTTTGGGAAACTGACTAACCACAGAGAAAAAGTAGGTCTGAGAAAGTCTGCCACACGTTTTTCCACTCTACCAGTAGAAGAAAAATGCATGGAGGACTGGCAACCACATTGACGAGAATATGAAATTGGCAGAAGTTTGAGTGTAAAAAAAAAATGCATCAGTAAAGAACATTTTGAATGCATATTTTAATGACAGATGATAAAGAATAGCTTTCAAAAACTGGGTCAAACAATCACAACCAATTGTTGGCACAATGCAGTCCTGAAGTGCCAACAAGTATTCATACAAAAAAGAATGTCAATGCTCTGTCCCACAAGCAGTAATCTTGACAATCTTATTTAAGTTAAGATCAATTTTTCTACATCCTTGAAAACAGTATTGAATTGATATTCAATTATTACCTCGGACCAGACCCTTGGAGACGCATTTGCACTACCTTGATTGTCTATCTCAAACAGATAGACAGCAATGGTATTTTTCTGTGCATTCTTCTGCAACTGTGAAAGTACTGTTATCCAGAACACAGATGAAGTGTGTTTTAATCCACTGCAATTTCTTTCCAATTAGCTACTGGTCACTTCAGATCAGTTAACAATTTCAACAATCTGTCAACTGCAGATCTTCAAGTATTCAACCCAATTCATAAAGTAAAGCCACCAGAATAAAATTACGATCACAAACTCTGAATTATTTTAAAATGAACCTGAAAACAAAGAGACCAATTTATTTTATCTTTAACACCTGTTTGAGTGGTGCAATTTTAAAACTTAATAGTCTGCCTCCCTATATTATGATGTATTTTATTAGTTCAAGTACATATAATTGAAGTTATAACTGCAAAGCATTTTCATTCTCTTCAGTGCCAAGAGAATGCTTTAAACATAATCTCCACTTCAAAACAAAACCATTACTTACTCATATTGGTGTGTTCCTCTGCATCTGATAGGAATATGGTCTTGATCTGCAATTATTTATCCTGAGAAAGGAACTCATGTCCTATTTAAAAAAAACACAAACAAACCATTATACGCGTCCATTAATTGCACTTGACATATAAAACAACAAAAATATTTATATTGCACCTTTCACATCAGGAGAGCATCTCAAAGTGGATAGAAAAAGACAGGTTAAAGAAACAAAGAACTTGCATTTTTATAGCACCTTATAACACTGAAACATTTCTAAGTATTTCACAGACACATATCATCAAGTGTAATGACTGCTTTTATATGGCAAAACCAGGTGGGAGGGAGGGGTGGAGAGCAAGAGGGAGAGAGCGCGCGGAGAGAAGAGAACCAAAAGCATGGTTAAAAAGATGAGCTTTAAAGTTTCATGCAGAGAAACTCTTTTCTATTGCACAGTTGGATCTTTACCATAAAATTGACCAGGCAGATGGAACCGCATTTTATCAATGAACTGAACGATGGCACTCCTCCAGTACTCTACTGGACTGTTTGTCTATTAAGTAGAAGGTCTGTGGTGGTGCTTGATCTCACAATCTTCTGGCTACAGGACAAGAACGCTACCAACGCTGGGTGGTAAAGAAGAGAGATTTACTGCTGGGACTTATGCAAGTTACAACAACTTCCCCCTTCTCATTTCTACCCATTTGTGGACGTCAGCTGAGATGACCTCAGTCAAATGGTAGGCCCAAGCAAAAGGCTAGAAAGAGTGTCAATTTAACCATACGATGACAATGAAAAGCGACAAAGCCAAGAAATACATGAAGAAAATAATTCTAAATGCTTGTACTCCCTTTTACAGATACTTACCGGAATTATTTTTCTCCAAACAGAACCATTTTTAAGCTGTCTTTGCCTTATTTGAAAAAGATTTGAGGTTTATATATTTAGCTTATGACCACAATGATTTCCTTACAATAGGATATTCAAACGGTGGAGGATGGCACAACATTGGTGGTACAAGAAGGGAGTTTTATTACCCTTGCATTTGATACAGAACTTTAACATGTCTTCAAGACGTCTCAAAGCCCTTCACAGAATATACTGTAAAGTGGTGGAACTGTATATGTTGTGGACAAATGCAGCAGCCAATTTGCACACAGCAATGTCCCACAATCAGCCATAGAGTGAGTCACCAATTTTATTTGAGGGATTTGTTGGCCAGGGAGGACACCATAATAAACTCCCTTCTCTTTTCAAATAGTCCCAGGGGATCTTTACCCTGGATCTCGGGTGTAATGCCTCATGTGAAGGATGGCCCTACCAACAATGCCACACATCCCCATCGCCGCATACATCCGCATAAGACTATACAAGTTCCATATAAAAGGATTATAAAACTCCCTTCTTGGGGTGAGAAAGCACAACCTTCTGACTTAAGAGATGAGAGTCCTTATCAAATAAGCCCGGACACACCGATCAGAGTACAGACAGAACAACAAGTCTACAGACAACATGGAAGATAAGGCTGTGAAGGCATAAACTCAAGAAACTTGGAAGTCTATCCGCTCGGGCGCAGAGAGCCAGCGAAGCTTGGGAAAGGATTGGGAGTGAACAGGAATGTGGAGCTTTGTGTGGGAGAGGACAGTTTTGGGGATGAATTGGGAGCTTTTGTGGAACCATTCAAAAAAATACGAGCGCTCTCCAGAGTCGGACTCAATTTATCTATGTCCAATGATGAAAATGGTGAGGCCATCTTTTCAAAAAAAAAAGGTTTATATCGACAGATACCGTATAAAAGCACGAGCCGAGTCCAGGTTGTTCTCTCTCCCCCCCCCCTCCTCCCTCAAACCCCTTAAGGAGACAAAAAACGTCCGCGTGAAGCCCGTGTTTGCCGTCAAAATACCGCTTCGCTCTCGCGGCCAGGTCTTTCCTTTCGCCGCTGGGATTGCCAACTTTACTGCACACCAAACCCGTGGGTCTCGCGGTGCCGGGTCCACGGTTTTGGGTGTCAAAAGGAGTGTCATTCGGGAACAACCGGGACCGTTTGTAATCCGAGAGGAAACGGACCGATTAAAGGATGGGTAAATACCCAGAAAAAACCCACCACCACATGAGTGAAATATCCTGATTCCCCCCCCCCACACACACACACCCCCACACACACCCCCACACACACCCCCACACACACCCCACACACACACCCCCACACACACACCCCCCCACACACACCCCCCCCACACACACACACCCACACACACACACCCCCCCACACACACACCCCCCACACACACACCCCCCACACACACACCCCCCACACACACACCCCCCCACACACACACCCCCCCACACACACACCCCCCCACACACACACCACCCCACACACACACCCCCCCCCCACACACACACCCACACAGCACCCCCACACACACACCCCCACACCCCTCCCCACATAAACACCCCCCCCACACACACACCCCCACACACACACCCCCACACACATCCCCCCCCCACACACACCCCCCCCCCCCACACACACACACCCCCACACACACATGGACAGCAAAAACCTTCCTTGGGTTCATTTCGTGAGGGGGAGGGGGGGGGGGGACCACCAGAAGCGTCAAGGATTCAAGACACATATTATATTTAAAAAAAAGTTGGGGGCCAAAAAAAAACAGCAGCAGCAGCAGCACAGGGGGCGAAGTCTGTGGCGAAATCGGCGCAGCGAAAGAGAAGGGAAAACAATTCCGAAAGTTAAAACTTTTTCGACTCACACGAAAAAAAACGGTCGGTCGGTCGGTCGGGCGTCGGGGACCCTCTCTCTCTCTCTCTCACTCACTCACTCACTCGTTTTAATTCGTTGGTCCGAATGCGAAGGTGGTAAAGAGGGGTTGACATCCAATACACGTCGTAGAGAGAGGGGGAGGGGGGGGGGAGAGAGAGTGGGGGGAGAGAGAGAGAGAGAGAGTGGGGGGGAGAGAGGGAGTGGGGAGAGAGGGAGTGGGGAGAGAGAGAGAGAGAGAGAAGGTGGGGAGAGAGGAGAGAGAGAGAGAGGGGGGGGGTGGGGGGGAGGAACACTGACTGTACTTTCTATCCTTTAAATGAATTCAGGAATTACTGGTCGGGTGGTGGGTGGAGGGAGGGAGGGAGGGAGAGAGGGAGGGAGGGAGGGGATAAGAAGAAAGGGAATGATTTGCTCTTTACATTACAGGTAAAGTGAGTGAGTGAGTGAGTCAGACCCCTCCTTCCCTCCACCCCCACACCCACACACACACACCCCCCAACTTTCCCTCCGTCAAAACCCCCTTCAGCGCAGACAAAGAGATCAGGAGGAGGGGTTTGGGGGAACCGAAGCCTTTTTGCCCCCCCCCACCCCTTCATTTGCGCACCGGAGTAACCCGCCCGCCGGCCCCGCCCGCCGGTCAACCGAACTTGCGCGGCGTCCGAGGGGGTGGGGGGGAGGGGCTGCGGCGCTTGATTGACAAGGCGCCCGGGGGTTCCTGGCCAATCGGAGAGCTACGCTCGGGAAGGGACGCGATGACGTGATGACGCGAAGACCGACATCAAGTTAGATTGAGGCAGGGAGGCGGCGAGGGCTCCGCTAGGCCGCGGTAGTGAGTCTCTCTCTCTCTCTCTCTCCCACTCACTCACACACTCACTCACTCTCTCTCTCACGCACACGTTTCCTCGGGACTTTTGATTCCTTCCCCTCTTCTCCGCCTCATCCGCTCACGTCGACTCTCTCTCACTCCCACGTCCCCCTCTCTCTCTCTCTCTCTCGTTTCGCCCGTGAAACGTTTCCGAAGCGCTCCCGAGAACCGAAGGGCGTTCTCTCTCTCTCTCTCTCCCTCCCCCACAAGTCTACCGTTAGGGCTTTTATTATTATTTATTATTATTAATTATTATTAATATTGTGGTGGTGATTATGATTAAGTTGTTGTGGCTGTGGTTTCCCTCTCTTCCCCCCTCCTCCTCCACCCCCATAGCGACTCAAACCATTCCATTAACTTGTGCCACACACAGAGAAAAAGAGAGAGAGAGAGAGAGAGCGAAAAAAAAAGGGAGAGAGGGAGGGAAGAGGGGAAGGTTTTAAAACGCATTCCAAAGAGAAAGAATTCCTTTCATATCATATCATATCTCTCACTCACTCACTCTCTCTCTCTCTCTCTGGAACCTTTCCTGAAAAGAGTCGGAGGGGGAAAAAAAAACCGACGGGGGGGACGGGGGGGAACGAACAAACCCCCGAACTTTTTTTTTCTTCCCCCCACCCCTCCCAAAAAAAAACCACACACAAATAAACAAACAAACAAACAAATCAATCAATACAACAGTTACCTCGTTTCGTCCCTCATGTGCGGAGGAGAACGGAAGAACCGAAACAAAAACAAGAAGGCGGTTGGCGGTCCCGGAGCGCTCTCTCTCCCCCTCTCCCTCTCTCTCTCTCTCTCAGGTATTAAAGTCCACGGGCGCTCCAGGAACCGAACTCACTAACTTTTTTTCTTCTCCCCCCCCCACCCTTTTCAACACAGGGGGGGGGAACGGCCGCCGCCGCCCGGGAGGCGGGAGGGGGTCTCGGGGGGGGTGTGGGGTGTGTGTTGACCGTCTCGAGGGTGAAGAGGGGGCGCGAGGCCCCGAGTCTCACAACTGAGGCGGTTGGTGCGCGAGACAGACCGCGGGGGGGGGAGGGGGGGTAACCATGGAAACGGCCACTCGCTCCCTCCGCTCCCGAACCCACCTGACCTGACTGACCCCGCCACCACTTCCGGGTCATCGCCCCCTCCCCCCCATCTGTGGCCCACCTGGACTGAGCTATACTGATAATAATAATAATAATAATAGTATAGAATTATTATAATAATACAATAGATTGACTAGTAATATAATGGAATGATTGTAATACATTGGCAATGATGATGATTATGATATAATACGGTGATTATAATATAATAGGATAATAATACAATGGAATACAGATATAATAGAATGATTATAATGTGAAGATCATATAATAATTATAATAATGGAATATAATAATTATAATAATAGAATAATAATAATATAATGGAATACAGATATAATAGAATGATTATTATAATGTGATAATAATATAATATAATAATATAAGAGAATAATAATAATATAATGGAATAATGATATAATAGAATAATTATAATAATATGATAATTATAATATAATAGAATAATAATATAATAGAATGATTATAATATAATGGAATAATTATAATAATATAGAAGAAGAATGATATAATATAATGGAATAATTATAATAATATAGAAGAAGAATGATATAATAGAATGATTATAATATAATAATAGAATAGAATAATTATGATAATATAATAGAATAATTATAATACAATGAAATAATCGTAATAATATGATAAAGTTAAATAAAGTTAGAATATAATTATTATATTCTTGTAATTATTCTATTATATTATGTTTATAATAATAATATGATAATTATTAAATATCTAGCATAATTAATATAATTATAGTATAATAGAATAATTCGATAATATAATTATGAGGAATAATAGAATAATTAATACAATAATTATGAGTATAATAATAAAAGAATAATTATAATACTAATCTAATAAGAATATAAGAGTAATCTGATATAATATAATAATAATAGATGTTTGCGTCAAGAACGTGCTGCTACTCATCACCAAATCTGCCAAGTGCGCAGACGGTCTTCAGACTTTTCTGACGTGAAAAGCGCTATATCAAATGCAAGGATTATTATTATTATTATTATTTACAAGCGCTCCAGTCCGCAATCGACTACCTCAGCAATACTCTTCGCCTCTTGGGTCAGAGGCCCCCCCCACCACCACCACCAACGTCACAACTTTGAACTCAAGCCCAGACTAAGCTGTTGATCCGGCACGATGCCAGGGATAGGGAGGGATGGGGATGGGGATGGGGAGGGAAGCACTGCACTGTCGGAGGTGCTGTCCTTCGCATGATACAATAAGGTGGGTCCCGTCTGTGTCTGTTCAGGTGGGATGTTAAAAGATTTACTTGCCACTATTCAAAAAAACACAAGGGAGTTTCTCCTCCCTTGGCTAACAATCCATAAAATGAGTCATTCACTTTGTTGCTGTTTGTTGAGTTCGCCCACAAAATATACACGACTGGACTTCACAGCAAATCCTGGGAAAAGCCTTGGGATGGCCTCCTGATAATGAATGGCAGCGTGCCGAATGCAACGATTCTAAAACAAATGGTATTAAAAAAGTGATGTTGCTTTTCATAATGAGAAGAATCCTTGCATTTGGTATAATAGCTTCCACACCGTGTGGATGTTTCAAAGCAGTAATGAGATCCACTAGAAAGTGAAGCGATTGTTGTTTTGGAATATGCAGCAGTTTAATTGCGAATTAATTTGGACAAGGGGGAGGATATAAGCCTGGATAATTGGAAGAAAAAAAATTACCTTTTTTCGAAATAGCAGTGGCGGTGGTGGGTAGGGCAAAGTTCCATTATGTTCACCTGAATCATAAGACAGACGGCACCAATGTTGATGCGTCCGAAGTTGATGACAAAAAAAACAAAACTAAAAAACATTTAATACAAAATGTATTATTATTGTAGCATGTCATGATAATAATGCTTATATTTGAAATAATGCTTTTGATAGGAGGAGGGCGTTGCAAAGTGCTTCACAGGCTATCTAGTAAAGTGAAGTGACTGTATTTTGTAGGTAAATGGGCCAACCGATTTGTGCACAGCAATGTTCCACAAACAGCCAACAAGTGAATGCTCAATTTTATCTGTTTTTTTTTTCAATTCTCTTGTAGTTTTCTGCGGTTCTCAAGTCCAGAAAAATGCCTTCAAAATTACAACTGCAATTAATAATTTGCCAAGTTCACACTAGAATGCTAGGAAACTACAGTAAATCTACTTGGAATTGTCCTGTAAAGTAAATTGTCCTTATAATCTGTTCCCTTCCAACATCCCCCAGTTCTGACGAAAGGTCATTGCCCTGAAACATTAACTAATTTTCCTCTCTCCATGGATGCAGCCTGACCTGCTGCATGTTCCCAATGACTTCTGTGTTTATAACAGTAAATCTAGACCCAGGTAGGTTTAGTTCCCTCCCCCCACCCGCAGCCCATACTGTCGCTTAATTTAACAGACATTGGCTGAGAGGCCTTTTAAGACATTAAGACATTTTAGACACAGTATCAATGCATGGATTATTTAATTCCCACCTAAATCATGTAATTGACCGGCCTCGGTAATCATTTGTGGTGATACATTCCACACTTTAATAGCCTTTTATGTAAAATGAAATTCTCTAACCTCTCCCATTAGGCTTGCAGCAATAATCTTGAGTATGCCTCATTGTAACGGCAGAACTAAATGTATGTACAAAAAACTGTTAACACTCCGCTGTTAAGGCTCGTAAATTGAAAATCCACACTTGAGGGAAGCAGACATCATAGTTAAACGCACAATATAAACTTTCTGCACAAGATAATGAGATGAATGACCCTGATGTCAATGTGCTGTTCCAAGAAGGAATAAGTAAAGGTCATTCACAGCAAACAAAATCATTAAAAGAGCCAATGTGCCATCAAGGCACAATTACAATGGTAAACCACTAATTCAGAGACACCGTCAATTTATATTTAGATACAAGCAATATGGGCTGTCAGAATATGATAACTTTCTGTTTTAATTTCAAGAATCCCCACTGTGTTCCCCGCTGTGTGCAATTGGCTCCCGCGTTTCACTCACAAAATACAGTCAATACACTTTACAGTATATTCTGTGAAGCACTTTGAGACATCTTGAAGACGTGATAAGGCCCTATGGCAAATGCAAGGATTATTATTATTATTATGTTCTCAACAAGAACTTTAAACCCATCATACTGTACAATAAATTGCATTGTATCTTTATCGCCCACAAATATATACAATCAATTCAATTTACAGTATATTCTGTGAAGGGTTTTGAGATATCTCGAAGATGTGAAAATATATTGAATACAAAGATTATTATATTATATTATTTATCAATAATATGCAATTAATTTATACTGTAAGCAACCTGCACTATGCGATGCATGTTTCACGTGAAGTTGGACAGAATAATGATTAAAGTAACAATGGAGAACTGTGAGGCCCTTTTAATGATAATTTTATCCTGTAGTTGCGCATGACCTTTACTTGTTCAAGATTCCTAACAGTCCTTCATTGTTAATTGCTGTACTATCTACCCCTTGTGACTTTCAGAAGCAATTAAAAGAATTGTCATTATCAGACAAATACCAAATTTACTAGTGAAATACTGTACCCAATGCAACATTTCATGCCCACTTAAAGTAATATATGTTATGCAAGATTATGCTTTATTATGGGGTAAAATTTGTGTTTTTTTTACATGCACTCCTTGTGCTAATTAACGTAAGGAATGGGTTATGTCAATTGCAATTATATAGTGTCCTTCCTGCAGGATAGTGTCTTGGAGCACTTAACAGTGGCAGAGCTTGGGTTAGGAAAGACTGCAGAGTTTGTACCACATGTTTGGATATCAGATGGCATATAATTAGTGTCCTCCCTTGAAAAATATCCAAGAGAGGTAATCACTTAACATTAGAAAATATTTTGACATTATGTTTTTGCATCTAATGACACTTCCCCTTTCAGTTCACTTCAGCCTTTTTCACATTTCTCTTTTTTTTAACTGCTGTACGTTCGTGGAAGTGATACTGATTTTGTTTTAAAAAAAGCAAATCAGTTCCTATTATAGGAGTTTCTGATCGAAGAAAGGGACCGCGTGACAAAATGTCAAGGGAGGGAGGGGAAATGAAAGAGATTAGTCTACTCATCCTACTCTTGAGCGCTTACCTATTCATCACAGGCAATGAAGTCAGAGCCTGGGAACAGGTTCTTTCTTGCCTTCACACACGGGGGTGGTGCAAAAGAACATGCGGACAACAAAGAAAACAATAAAGTTAAGTATAGGAAACCTTTAAAAGCCAAGCTAGCAAGCGAAGGCTAAGTGCTTCCCCCTCAGGGTGAGAGGAAAATATGCGAAAGGTGTGTGTGTGTGTTACTCGATGCTCGCAGCTTGGTTACCAAGAGGCATTTATTTGCATGTTGCAAAAGGGTGTAGTTTGCTAAACATTCAAAAAGAAACCCAACACAAGAAAACTGAGATACTGTACAGTGGTTCCATGGTGCACCACACCGCAAAATAGCAGATGTGGGTTCACACCCATGCTATCCACACACAATGATCTCACTACATTAGCAATGGGAGGAGTCAAATCGACTCGGCAAAGTGGCACCATTTAATTATTGGAAAGGAGTATTTATTCCAGTATTGTCGCTGGCAGCTGCTTACATTCCCCTGAACTCGGGACGCTTACCACATCAAATAACCAGCCCTTTCCTGGCCAGGAGTTGCACGTGGTACAGAGGGAGGAAAGGAAAGTGGAAAGCTTTGTAAGAGAAGGTGGACGTCACGCACAAACGTTTTGTGTCATTAAATATTGGGA